AATTATTTTTGCAGTTGTAATTATGGTGTAAAATGGGTGAGGTCTTGGAAAGTGCTTATTCATCACGCGAAAATAAAGGGCTATTATACATTATTTTTAGAGATATTGAAAATGGCCTTTTTCGCTGAAGCAGAAAATTACTAAATGTAATTCTACATTTTGCAGTGAGTCAAACAAGGATTCTGTTACATTTCTTTATCATGATTCCTCTAAACTTCTAAGTTCAGAGTAATTATGAGAAAAAAATGTATTCACTATCTGACGTACCAATTAAAATCTAGATTTTTGTTTTGATCCTTATTGTTCCACCTATAATTATTTAAAGTTCAAAAAGCAGCAATTTTTTTCAATGTAAAAAGAAAGGTACTAATTTAGTACCAATTTTGGATACTAAATCGTGATTTGGTTCTATTTAATACCGAAAAATCAGCTCTAATTCACAACCTTTTATTTACAGTGTAAATATCAATTTTTTCTTTTTCTTTAGAAAATTATTGTTCAACAAATTTTTTTTCCATTTTCTATATCTGTAAACAGCTTCGCAGAATGTGCCAAGTACTTCTTTGAATAGGAAGGAAATAATAAGCTCAGATGATGGTGTCGATTTAATAGTTACTGATTTCATGGCAGACAATAACAAAATTGTCGAGAAGGCTATTCATTCTGATTTGCAAAAAAAAGTCACGAAAGCTTTCTCCCGATTCTGGTAATATTGAAAGATTTAAAAGTATTATATCATAAGGGACAATAGTTAAGTTGAAATTTATTCTTTGTTCAAGATACTTACAAAACTTCTTAAGAATTGGGGATATGGAAAAACCGTTAGGTGAAATATTATTTTAAGCTTTTCGAGAAGATCTGTAGTTAATTTATGGACAACTTATTGAAGTGTCATGAGAATTACAAAACTGGTTAATGAATCGAAAAATATGTAACTTAAAAAAATTTGCCTGCGTGAGTACTCAACTCGCAAACAGGCGCTGTATATCTATAGTTACGCTTCGTTCTCCTTGACAGTTTAATTCTTCAGCACATAGTGACTGAGATATTCAGTCGCGGCGTCAAGAACAATTATTTTAAAGCCATAGCAAAAACACCTGAAAATTCTTTAATGAATATTAAACTTTTCGGAAAAATATCAAATTTTTCTCTAATTCTTAATTTTTCAATAAATTTTGAAATTTTTCTTGAACAATGATTTTTCGTTTAATTATCATGAAATATATTATCGTTAACACTTTGCGTTGCACGAAAAAATGTTAATGTGTAGTAAGTAGAGAGGCTTAATTACAGTGGGAAATCTTACCAAGTTATGTAGGCTTAGCATCTAAAAGGTTTTTTGTCAAATCCATATTTTAGAGCTAATGCACGTCTTCCTGTGGGCCGTGGTATATGTATTTCCGAAGTTTATAGTCCGGAGAATTTTTGTTTCAGGAAATATGTAATATGTACTTAACGAATTCTCTAAAAAAATCCTATTTCTTTATCGCTTTTCTACATAAGTCGCACCCAATAGAGAGTTACAGTGATGAAGGAAATTTGATGAAGGGAGTTAAAACTTTACATAACTATGATAACTCATCAAGGTGTAGAAACTAAACAATGATAAAATAACTCGCGTGGGAGATGATGCTCAACACCCTGTTTTTCACTCTTGGTAAAAGTAAGGAGTTATTAAACTAACTCTTTTTGGGAGTTGATAGTTAACTCGCAAAACTTTTACAGCCAACACCGGTGACCGTCAACTTCCTAAAATTTTTACAGTGTATATTAGCAACTTTGCTAATAGAAAGCCCCATCCTAAAGGGTAGACACTACCACCTCTTATAAAGACGAGCTACTAAAATTTAAGAATCACATTTGGACCATTCTCAATCTATCAAGCGCATTATCTTATCATTTTATTTTGAGTTAATTGTTTAATCAATTGTTGCTTTTCGTTTTGGACGAAAAAATTCAAAATGAAGACTAAAAATTTTCTAATTCAGCCAGATTATTTAAATAAAAAATTTTTTCCATCGATATTTATAATTTTCATCCGGATTGCTTGCGAAAAAAGCTTGCTAAAATTGTAAGGTTACTTTATCGGAAGATTTCTGCAAGGTTACGTGCTATATGGGTAAAAATATTTTGGGAGTATAGTTTTGTGACAAAAATTAAGCTCAGATACAAACTATTACCAACCTTAAAATGAAAAAACTTAATAAGCCTTTCAAAGTAGAAATTATGAATCTCTGAAAATTGCATCATATTTTTTTCAATATATTGTGAATTAAATCATGTAGTTCTCACAAAAAATGTTGAATGATTTGAAAGTTTTAATTACTCAATTAAAATGCAATTAGAAAGTGATGATTCAATGCATGATGGTGACTATGATCCACAAAATATATGCGTCCAGCGTTAACTCAAATTCTTCAGCCACAATCTGGTAATATATTGCTTCATTCAAGTTAAAACAATATATTTTTTTCTTTTTAAATATTCTTTGATTTCGTTCTAATAAATTACTATTATAGAAAGCGATGATTCCATGAACGATTCTGATATTACACGCAGAAATTTGATCAACACTATTCAGACAGAGGCACAAGTTCATAACCCTCGGTCCGGTACTGTATTGGTTTTTACATAATAAATTTCTATACAAAGTCTTTATGCGGTAGTGGCACTAGTGAAAGAACATTTGAAAGGACGCATGTTACAGATATTCTATAACTGATTAAAAAATATAAAAATTATTCTTCAAACTTATTTTCATTTTGAATCTAATGTTTTATCATAAACTAAATTTATAACAAATTGGGATCCAAAAGTATTTTTTAACAATTCCAAAAATTGTAATTTGTTGAACATTATGATAAATTAACAATTTGTTCTTTTACTAATGTTAATTCTTTTACTGGTGCAACTACCCTAAACCTGATTAATAATCATGTAATCGTTTAAGTAGTTTTACACCGTGGTAATCCAACTACTTTGGAAAAGCAAGTTTCTCGCACAGAAGAAGGTATGAATTTTAAGTTTAGCTGTGACATCAATACTTGTCCTAATTATTATGGAAGGTTTTTGACTTAACAGGTTCCTAAAGTGTTCTGAAGAACTTAGTTGACAGTAAAATCGTTTTATTAAATTTATGTAGATTCTGTAATGTTCTGGGTATTAAATTGTTAAAGTGTGACCATTTTTTATAAGCAATTCACGTAAAAGTTAGGTGTTGATAACGATACAGATTAAAATTAACATATTAAATTCAAAATTTGATCGAATGTGATTATATATATATGTTTAATTGAAACAATTATAATTATTTTGATTATAGTTTGTTTTATTTTACTAAAAATTTTTTGTAGAAATGGATGGTTTGATGAAAGACGACGACAATGAATTTGAAAATACTTCAAGCAATGCTCCTTCACCATTGCTGAGGAGGCATCCTTCTAAATTTGGTATTTCATAGTATTTTCATAACGCATGTAGTTAATCGCAACACAGCTACACAAAAAACTATATGTTCTGATCTCTTTCACGGTTATTTCAAAAGCCGGAAGTGATGAGATTAAAAATACTTAGATTTAACTTCATCGACCCTAAAATCATAAAGTAATTTTGGTAATACTTAAAAATCAGAATTTTTCATAATTTCAAAATTTAATTTCAAAAATATAACGTGATGCAGTTTAACAAACTTTAGACTCGGATTCTGCGACCACAAAAACATAAGATAGTGGCAGGGTAGTCGCACCTTAAGATCAGAACATCAATTTTTTGAGTGCCAATGTAATGAAAAGTATTATTGTGAATATTGATTTAATTTTTTATTTAGTTAAACTTTCCAAGGCAACTTCTGTTAATACAGAAGAAATTGAAGTTCTTCAAGGTATTGCTTTTTATTATATGTTAAAATATTATTGAATTTTTCATAACTCTTAATTATATCTTATTGATATATAGTTCAGTACAAATCCTACTAATATCCTATATTAGTAGGATAAACTGTCACTGTGGCCTGTGCTCTAGAGCTTTATCTATAATTATTATACCTAATTATATTGTTTATATGTTTTACGCATTGTTTTATTTACTTTAGATAGCGATGATTCGACGAAGGGTACTGAGGATAATTTTCATCTCTTTTCTCCTCAACCGACTTCAAAAAAGTTATATTTCGCAGTCTGGTATATTATTAAATTATTTAAATACATACGGGTATCAAAATAATCAGTTTTTTACTATGAATTTTAATTATAGATCCAATTTATTATTTATTTTAATTACTTTCATTACACAGAGAGAAATTTTACTTATGAAATTATTTATTTTTAAAACAAAATTCTTGAAATTAATCCTTCTACAACGAAAGTCTTTTTTGTACTTATTAATTACTTTATCTTTATTGAATTTTATCTTTAATAAAAGGCGATGAGTCAATGAACGAAGGCGCCAAATTACAAGGAAATAATGTCTCTCCATCTTCCCAAAAAAATAATAATGATAATTCTAATTCAGGTGCTAAATCATATTTTTTGTAATATTTTTCATAATTAGGAAAATTTTAATTTCAACTATATAACTAATTTTTTATACAGCTTCAGAAATTCAGAAGTCATCTCATAAAAAAAATAAGAAACAAGTAATTGGTAAGAGTTTTTAATTGTTTTCTTTATACTCCAAATTCAAATAAGACTTGAAAAGTATCTGAATTTTTCTAGTATTTTAAATTACTTTTTGCAAATTATAATTATGTTATGATGAACTAATTGTTACAAGCATATGTTTGAGATTACCCTGTAGACAAAATTTATGAGAATATTATACCTTAATTTTAAAATTGAATAAAATATTAATTTTTCTAGTTTTGTATATTAATGTAAAAACGTTCAATATTATATCCCACTATTTTCATAAAAAATTTGAAAAATCAAAGTAATGATTTTCAAATTTTTTCTTAATTGCTTCTTCATAGAAACATTGTTTTACCCGAACATTTCAAATTCAATTTTTTTATTTCTTTTTACTTTTTAAGATTTTAAAAATTTCAAAAATAAAAAAAACTCAAAAACTTTTTCAAATTTGTAATTTCTAAAATTTTTTATGTTAAGTGGAATCCTATATGATATATCTCACACGGGATCCCTTATGGGTCTCTGCAAGTGTTCTTTAAAGGACTTTTTCCTTATCGGATCCTATGTAGAAACTTAGAAATAACGTTTAGTAACTTAAAAATTGTAACTTTTTTACAAAACAAACATATATTTTTATCCCCCAACTTGTGGACCTATGATGTAATAGGTAAATGATTCTTTATTATTTCCTTATTAACTAATAGTTAATTTAGAGAGCGATGATTCATCTGACGATTGCACTATCCCAGTTAAAAAGCAGAAAGTAAGAAAAGCTGAGTCAAAGGAGAAATCAGTAAAGCACAAAATTACAAAACGGGATCGTAAATTCATGAAAGATTCTGGTACGTGTTTAACTACTTATTTTAATTTAAAAAATAGTAACATTTGCTATATAAATTACGTAATTCCAAATCAGAATAGAGAATATTTTATTTAAATGTTATAAAATCTTTGCAGAGCTTGATTTATAGAGTCAAGTTGCGAACTTGATTTAAAACATTTTCTTAATCCCTCTATCATATACTCTCTAAAAATTTCACAACCCACACATATATGTACATTTTAAAAGCTACTAGCATTGAACTATATAATTAAAAAAATTATCTAAGGCAGTTTATTTTAAACACAATTTTTTATTTTCAGTCATTTATAAAACATAAATTAATCAAAAAATTGTACTTATCAAAGAATGAGTTTTTCACTTAAAATGTATTTTTCATTATTTTAATTTCTGTAAGTAAAAATAAACATTATACTATAAAACACAAGGGTCATTCATAAACGTTGCTACGTAGTTTATGAATGACAAAATGCTTTTTTAGGCACAAATTTATTCATTTTCATTCACAATTTTTTCAAGATTGACCAGAATTATTTTATAAAAAATTCTAAAACGACCAATAAACGTTATCTAAGTCATTTCACTACTACTAGATATCCTTCTGTAAGATTGCAGGAAGGACATAGGATTAACTAAAGTATTTTGTTCACTACTCGTCATAAAAATGATATATTTAAATTATCACTAGATTGTTTAAGAGAATAGCCATAGTTCAGTATGGTAATACATTTGATTATAACACAATAAATATTTTACACACAATTTTCAAAATTGTACAAAATCGATGTCCTGATAGTTGTTAACACCATACTCAAGTGTGAATACAAGCTAGAGACCTTTTTGCATAACCCAGTAAAAAAAACTAATTCAAATGAATTGAAACGAATTAACATTTTTGGTAGGCTCCAATTCGTATTTGTCACAAAGCGGGATTCACTCAAGCTCTTTGTATATTCAATTGAATTTAATTCAATATGTACCAATTTGTCCAAACGAATTCGCATTCGAAAGAAATGGCCAAGGAATGCATTGAATTCGTGCTAACGAATTGAAAAAAAATTAAAGGCTCAAAACTTCTCCAGTGAATTGGTACGAATAGAAGGTTCGGAAGTTCAATACAGTTTCACGAATTCAGGAAAATTGCATCATGGCTCCAATTCGTATTTGTCACAAAGCGGGATTCATGAAAGCTCTTTGTGAATTCTTTTTAATTCATTTCAATTTGTTTTCGTTTACTGGGAACACATATAACTAAATTAGCCTAAAAATAAGTATATATACCTACACAATAACAAAATGTTTTGGAACAGTAATTTTATGGTACATCCAGAAATAAGTTTCTTTATTTCAAAGAAATTTTCTATGAATCAAAGGAATTTTTGCATTTTTATAGGGTTAAAGAAAAATTTCTTTGATTTAAAAAAATTTTTTCTTAACTTTTTTGTACATTATTTGTACCAATGATTTTAATTGCAATTTTCGTTAAATATGAAAAATTCATAATTAAATTAATAAATTATACTCTAGTCATTTTTTATAATCAATAAAGAGAAACCATTAATCTATTTTGACTGCAACTCTGGTAATTACAATACAAGAAAGCGCCTAAATTCCGACTGTTATTTTATTCTAGACTCTGAAGAGAGTGAAAGTGAAAAAGAAACTATTAAAAAGTATTCAATAGTTACTGAGACTAAAAAAAGTGGAAGAAAGGTATATATGTATTTACACGTATTTTCAAAGAAATACCTTAAAAGCCCCATATCTAATTTATATTTATTTTAAATTATTGGTATTTTAAAGTCGGAAAATATTGAGGGAAGACTTACTTTTGAAAAACAAAAAATTGCAAAAAATATATTTTTTTCTACACAGAAAAAACCAGAATTCATTTTTGTTGTTTATTGTTTTGAGTTCCGTATAAAAATGAGTTAACAATAAACTTCAAGTTATTCACAATGAACCTGCTCTGTATCAAATATCAATTAAGGTTAGATTTCAATAAAATAACAGATGTTTTATTTATTATGTTTGTAGTAACTCTTTAGACATACCTTTTAGACGATTGGCACCATCATCCGTCAATGGACATGATTTTTGAACCTAAAAGTTACTTTATTACTTTCAAAAATACAGGAGATAAACTTATTAAATTGAAATCTCTTTCTTTGCAATATGGTTTATTTTAAAACTATTTGGCTAAAACTGTGAGATTGTTCTTGTTGCTTATCAAAATGAGTATTATACGTGGACCATTTTGAACTCAGGTTGTTTCTGTGTACTTCTTTGCTTAAAAACTTTTTTTATATTAAAGTATTATATATTATTAAACATATTATATTATTAAATTTTCTTTTCGAGGAAGCAAAATATTTACGAAGTTAACATAAATATAATAATGTCAACAATACAAATAGACAGCGGTTTTTAATTTTGTTTGAGATGACCTATATTAATATTATTGTAAGAATGATGTTTCTTTATGTCAGGTTGAGAAAGTTTATTTAGGAAAAGAAGAATATATAAAAAAAGACACATGGGATGCAATTAACACTCTAGATGATTCAAAGTTCGTAAAATACTTAGCAGCGGCTATTTGGACCCGTTCTGTACTTGTAAATCGTTGCATTAAAAATACGGGAAGGTTAATTCCATTGCCGGATAGGTCGCCTAGAAAACTTCTTACTCCTAAAAAGAAAAGTGTTGTAGAAGGTGAGGATTATTATTTGTCTAAGAAATTATTGTACTGTAGAGCTAACACCTTGACCTTTAATACAATATTACTGTGTTTTAACTGAGAAAATGTTATAAATGAAATGTCTATTTAAGATCTGAAGGAATGTAAAAAGGACGTCCAAAAGACGTCTTTAAGACGTACTTTAGACGTTCTTTCTTATGTCTTTTAGACGTCTTTTGAAACAGACATAGAACGTCTTTTAGTTGTCTTTTTGATGACTCAGAGACATTACCATAATTGTCCCCGATATTGTCCGCGGACAAAAAGGGACGTCTTTTAGACATCCCTGTGCCCACTGAGAAAGAGATTCTAGAAATTAAAATTATAAATCAATTATAAATTAAATAAGTTTATAAAATATCTCTAGGATATCTAAAATATATTCAAAATATAATTAAAAAAAATTTGATATTTTTTCACGCATTGACTGTAAAATGTAACCTCTTTTTTAAATATCTGCTTTAAAAATATTCGAATTTTAATTGATCCAAGAGATATCTCTAAGATGGCAATTTTTTATGTTCTAGTAATATTATCAGGACATTTTAGACCCATTTTTATTAATATCCTTAGAATGTTCTGTGTATATCTTAAAGATATCCTAGATATATCCTGTGGATGTCCTGTATATATACTGAGGACAATATATATATATATATATATATATATATATATATATATATATATATCCTATTATTGTAAGGGGCTCTGCTATTTTAGCCGTACAAATATTGATATTAATACTCACATATAATTATAATTCTGTCTTTTTACTGTTTGGTAAATTGTAATGTACATGTCGTAGGCAAATAGAAGAATTCGTCATTTAGCTAAATGCCTAGGCAATTAGCTAAACGGCGCCGAATAGACAAATGAGCTTCATTATTACTGTTATTCGTCTATTCGCCTGGAAGGATTAGGCAATTAGCTAACTGGCTAGGCATTTAGCTATTCGACAAACGCAGTTTAGGCAAATAGAAGAAAATGATATATTGAAAAAATATTTTCATTTATTACAAAGATTAATTTATCATTTTCCCTTATTCGTCACAAATCAAAGTTTAGCACCAACGTAGCAGTGAAACGCCACCCTATTGAAAATAAACACATGCAGATTTGGACACATGAAAATACACGAGGAAAAGTTTTTACACGTGTAACTACACATGTAAATACATGAGAAAAAATTATTACACGTGTAAAAAAATTTTCCTCGTATATTTACATGTGTAATACATGTTCAAATCGGCACATGTAATAAGCAAAAATTTACAGGTGTAATTACAAGTGTAAATTTTCACTAGTTAATTTTATATTGAAAAACTAACAAAAACAATAGTCAAATGGGAAACTTTGTTCCTTCGAAACACGACTTTTGTCCAAGTCAAAATAATCACCAATCTGCAACTACTTGTTGATCCTTCAATAATAATCACTACACAAAATTTTCGTTAACAAATCTTTATTAATTCAATATCAAATCCTCCACACAACCGAAGTAAAAAATCAACACCCCCTCGTAAAATAAACTATCATTTCTCTCAAATTTGCTTCTCCGTTGCAAATCTATCGATAGAATTTTGTGTCTAAATGCTTAATTATGACAGAAAAAAGTAATGCATGTATGAGAACAATTTTTTTATTAACAGGGGGATAAGGTATTGAAATTTTTTTGCATTTAAAAAATTTTCTTTAAATGAAAGCATAATATCTCCAGAATAACGTGTTAAAATTTCAAGTTAATTGAAGCAAAATTGACAGAGTTATGAGTATTTTAGTTCCGTTGGTATACAGGACAACTTTTTTTTATTGCACTGAATGAGAAAACTCTCATTCAGTCTCTCAATTCTTAATATTTTGTCATGCAAATTTTGGAAAATATTGTTAAAATGTTGCAGTTTTATATCAAAATTGATAAAATAAATTAACTCTCTCTGTATCGACAAAAATTCCTAAAAATTGCTAAAAAAACCTTAACCCCCTTAAGTATTACCTTTCTAAAATTAAATTTAACATCAAGTTGAAACAATGCGAAATATTAAATTAACTTAAAAAATTATTTATATGTTTATATTTTAGGTTTACAAATTTTTTTAAAATTGATAATTAATTTTAGCCTGTTTTAATGACTACCTTGATGAAAGGAAGGTTCACGGAGTGGAAAAAGGAACTCGACTGAAAAAATGTGGATACTACATTAGCCAACATATTGGCAGTTTGAGAAGTCAATTGTACCCTGAAATGTCTCAAAGTAGGAATACACTAATATAAAATAAGTAACACATAAAATTTTCGTTTAAAATAGTAAATATTGGAGTCATAGATTTTTTTTTGAGATTCCCGAGTTCCTTAGAAAAAAGTACTTTTATAGTGGTGACGTATCTACTGACTGCTTCATCAAAAATCAAAATGAAAAATATTTACTGCTGGTGAGAATAGCTCGTAATTGAGCGAAGGGTTCATGAAAAAATTAAAAATTGAATGTTCGGTGAATTTTTTTAGTAGAAATTACTGTTTTTAAGACCATTTAAACCATGTAAAATTGGTTCTAATAAATAAACAAAAAATGTCTTCCTTCGATAACTATATAACTATACCTACTACATCTATTAACAGAAAATATTTTATTTTTCAAATTTTCAATGAAGCACAGGGTTCTGTAGTGACGCGTGTCTAGAGGTTTTTGACGTATTTTACATGGGTATTATATGTAAAATACGTATTTTACCCCTACCATAAAAAATGTATTGTGTTTGAAATTTTTGAGGTAATTTACACATGTAATATACGAAAAATACTCATGTAATTTGCCCGAGGTATATTACGTACCCAACCCTGATGAAGCAGTCAGAAGATATCGTGGCTCCCGCAAAAGTATTCTTTTTTGGAAGGGGCTTCAAAGATCTTATTACTATGGCCCCGATTTTGAATATTTTTTAAAGATTGTTTAAGATTTATTTACAAAACAATAAATATAAAATTTTTAAATATAAGCTAAGACACATTTTTGACTTTAGGATAAAATATTTATTTTTATTATCAAACTCAAAATTTATTAAATTCATTTCTCATTGTATTTACATCAAAATCAATAATTTTTTGATATCATTGTGGAATAGAATAATTTAGATTACTATACTAAATCAATTAGATGTTTCAAATAATTAAAACTTTAGCCAAAGAAAAAGCACTCAATATAATTTAAATAAATTTCAGACAATAAGAAGCATACTCAAGAGCCAGATTCAGAAGAGGAAGATTAAATTCCGAGTTGAAAGTTTTATAGTTTAGTCCGTTCAATTTCATTTTATTAAGTTATTTAGAGTAATTAATTTTCATAAATTCATTTCAATTTCTTTTTTCTTCATCTATTTTTTTCTATTATTACTATTAAAGTTCAGTTCAATTTACTGTTTTATATATAAAACAAAAACTATTTAATTAAATAAAGCAATACAAATTGTTATGCGTTTTTACACAATTTTTATCTAATAGATATTAAAATGATTGTAATTAATACACCTGAGTAGCACAACATTTGAGCTCAATATTGTACCAATATTACCTGGCAATGTTAAATGTACCTATATATATATATTTAACATTATGCTACTGCCTACCAAGTTACAAAAAATATAGTAATGCTACCCCATACTATCAAGATGTTACTCCGCATGATATTGATAGTAACGGTTACTATCTAGATAGCTGTCCGTATTTGTAGCATTAAAGATGGTCACCCTAACCACAATTATGTTACCCACTACTATAAATTTCACTCCGTGATATCTTAGACAATTAATTCATAGTCAGTTTCTTAAAATTATCACTTACCTAAAAAAAATTTCAGATTTACCTAAAAATGCATTTTTATTATTTTTAAGAATGTTGGGGAATTGTGGACCATTGCCTGAATTGAGTTCAAAATAAAAATAACGATTAAATATATTAGAAACATTAAACTTAAAAAATGACACAAAAATAAAAAACGATTTTTTGAAAATTACAACTAAGGTTGCCACCTTAAAATTGTCGAGAAATATTGTGACAATTTAAGCTCAAATATTGGTTTGTCGGATAAATAAGAAGAACAAATATAGTTAGTATGAGAAGAAATTTAAAAATGTATTTGAACAGCTATAGTTTTAATTCTTTATAAATGCAAGTACTTCAATATAATTTAAACTGATATACAAAATTGTTATGATGGACTAGTTGTTTCCATTCATATTTTAAATGCAATATGTTAACCTTTGTATGAAGAAAATCTTTTCTCAAAACATAAAATTGTTATTAAATATTTTTGTCAAAACTAATACCTTGTTTTTGAATTATTCAATACAGACTAATAATTTTATATATATAGAAAATTTTTTGAAAATTTCAATAGACAATACTAAGGGAAAATTGGACTAAAGTATGTAGTCTCTAGAAAATGAATGGAACATAAGATTTTTTTCTGATTATTATAGTTTATTTACTCCCAAGTACATACATCAACTTATTCTATAAATACAAAAATTCTTACAACTAAAATTATACTCTTACAACTTAACCTAATGCAACTTAACCGCTGTTCTCAACATAACCTACTCGCATCTCTCTCAATCTCTCAGTTCGCCAGTGCCGGGCTTCCGTTTCCAGTTCCTTTTTTGCCCATTCTATCTTCGTCTTACTTCGCCCACCCCTTTTTATTTTTACTTTAACCCCTATTTCCACTTTAGTTTCACATCTTTTTCAACCATCCATCTTTTTCAACAAACTTTAGACCATCCACCCAAATACAATCTTTACTCATTCTTACCACTTTTCCATTCACTTTCTCAGACCACGCTCTTTCTTTCAGTAGCCACATAATCCTTCCTTCTCTCCAGGTTCTTTCCTCATCTATTCTTACAACACTTCCTTTCAATCTCCCTTTTACCCTCATCACATCCATTTTTTCTTCCTCACTACCCAACTCCATAGTTTTAACCCTGACACTTACCCCCATCCACGCAAACACTTTTTCCACCTCTTTTTTACCCTCTAACACACCTACATTCATACCCCTGACTACAACATTCTTTTTCCTTTTATCCTTTTCCACTACATCCACTCGCCATTCTTCCCCACATGCTATCCTTTTCCTTTTTCCACTTAATATCCCATTCATTTTACATTTCTTGTAATTTCTCCAATCTCTCTTCAATTTCCTCTAACTCTCTGTCTCTTTGTTCCCCATCTTCACAAATATTCATTAAATTTCCTTTCACTCTCTTAGAACCTTCCTTTATCGCATCCTTCAACATTAATACTAATTCTAACAAATCCATGCAATCCTCACACGTCATTCTTTTTCCATTCTCACCTATTCCTCTTTCAAATACTCGCGCCTTTTTCTCACTCTCGCATGCACTACTTGAGCCAGACTCAGCCATTCTAGAAATCTATACTGAGAGAAATTTCTGCATAAAATAGTATTGAAATATTCAACGCACTTCGTATGCCCTCTGTCGTGAGATTTTGTTATGAAAACAAACTGAATTCGCTCAGTAATCCTACCAAAAGAGCATTATCTTTGCGAAATGAGTATGTTGTTTTCACCAATGGCGTATGACATAGATGTAAAAAAAGTATAGCTACAGTTGATACTATTTTATGAAAAAATTTCTCTCAGTGTACTTTATCACTATCTCTCTCCACTCTCTCACTTCAAGCAACCTAACCTCACAATACCAACTTATCTTTTTTACCTTTTTTATCACTCACATATTCACTACTCTATACAAACATATCTTTCCTTTGCACTACTGTAAACTCCACTGCACACTCAACACTCTACACTACCCACCATTTTTTAAACCTTAAAATTTATTCAAAAAGCTCTCAACTTTTTCTTCACGCGTGTATACTAAACCGGTACCGGAAATGGAAGCCTTGATATTCTTTTAATATTTATTCGATTATTGCATAACAAAATGTAACATTTACACTTTATTGTTAACAAGAAAAGTAAAAACTATTGGGAATAACTTAGCAATAAGCTTATACTCGTTAATAAGAAAATGAAACATTTTTTATTTTTAAGATACCCTATGGTTTATGCATAGCCGATTTAAATTCAGAAAACTGAAAGTTAGAAAAATAATAAAGTTGGATATTTTTAATGATTTGCGCTTAGTGATATAAAATTCAAAAACAAAATAGAATTAAAAATCCTCAAAAACATTTGGGGGATGTAAGAAAATAAGACATTATTTGTTTTTAAAATCCTCCATTATTTATACACATAAATTAAATTTTGAAATCTATCATTGTTGCCAATTTAAATTTAGAAAACTTGCAAAATAAAAAAATTTAAACATTGAACGTATTAAGTATTATCGTGTAGTAATATAAAATTTCAAAACTAAATCATAGAGTTCAAAATCTTCGACGAGATAATATACGCAAAATTAAGAAAATAAAACATTTAGAAAATTAGAAATTAGAAAAAAATATTACTAAAAATCATCAATGATTCACACGTAGTAATAAGAAACAGATATAAAAATACTTTAGTTCTTGAGGAAGTGAGACATTCCTCGTAGAAAAAATCCTCGATGACTTATACACATAAATGCTAAGATTTAGATTTATTCAAGAATTCACTTGTAGTTATATAAAATTTTGAAACGAAATCCTAGACTTCAAAATTGTTGTCTATTTAAATACAGAAATCTGAAAGTTAGATAAAGATATTTTTAAAAATTTCCAATAATTTACGCGCAGAACACTGGAGACTCCATAGAGAGTAACTCTATAGAAAGTAAAACTTCAGCAGTGTTGGAAAAGAGGGTTATAAGGGACGAGGTAATTAAAAATTCAAAAAATAGACAACATTAAAAGAGTGAAAGTCTTCAAAATTCGCGAGCAGTAATGTAAAATTTAGAAATAAATTTTTAGTGAACAAAATTTCTGTTTTCGAGATCCTTGATAATTTATTCACATATAAATGTAGAAAGAAGAAAAAAATTATAGAGTTCAAAATCGTTGTCGATTTTAATATACAGAAAATTAGAAAAATAACAAACTTAAAAATCCTTAGTGATTTACCAGTAGTAACACAAATTGAGAAACAAATATATAAATACATAAATTTTTTTTATTTGTATTTTCTATATTTATATATTTACATCCTCATCGACATATGTACGTTAATAACAAAATGAAACATTTTTGTTTTTAAGATCCTCGATGATTTATACATGTGTTGAAACTGAAAAAACTGCTGAGTTCAAAATTGCAGACGATTTAAATTAAGAAAACTAAAAATTAGAGAAACGTATAAAGATAAAAGTCCTTAATGATTTTCGCGTAGTAATATAACATTAAAAATCATCGAAATCCTACAAGGAGAAGTAAGAAAATATAACACTTCTTGTTTCCAAGATCCTCGATGATATATGCATATATACGTTGATAAAATTTGAAAAACATTCTAAAGTTGTATGATGGAAATATAATTGAGAGAACAAAATCCTCGGACACACATGTAAAGAAATAAACAAAATTGGAGAAATCTGGTACATGAATCCTTGTTGACTTGTACGACAAAATGTAAAATATTTCCATTTCACTTTATAATTTGAAACAGGATTTATTTGATACACAGAAATAATAAAATTAAACATTTTTTTAAATTTTCAAATCGTTGAGGATTTGAACGTTTATATCTACGTAGAATGTGTCCAAAAATTAAACGTGTAAATACACGTTTAAATCTCTACTGATTTACATGCCGAAATAGACGCTGATTTTTTTGCAATTTCTCAAAAGGTCAATAAGCTGTTTGTCAATGAAGAGGAATTCGTTGAGACATACTGTACTATATTTCTTAGGTTTTTCACCCCAAGAATTGCGAAACCCAGAGGAATGTTAAATTTAATTGAAGTAGTTATTTTTTAGAATTAGGTTTTTGATTAATAGAAATACATTGGATTAGAATATTCAAACGAGGAATTTCTCTTTCGTGAGATTACAAAGATTACAAAGGATTGTTTTGTGTGAGTGTTTTTTCTATGATGTTTGACAAAATTCTTGTGTTCTGTTTAATTGTTTCAAATGATTTTAATTTAACTATAAATAAAAGGCATTTTGACAATATAATAAGTTACGGAGTTCGGCCGTAACATTTACGTTTTTCGTCCGAAGGACACATTAAGTTAAAGTTTTTAAAAATTAATCTTTTTAAAATTAAATATTAAATTTCTAAATCCTACTTTAACACCTCCTATTGGTCTTTCAAACTTTTCCGTCTTGACAGCTGGGCTGAATATAATTTCCATACCCGGTTTCCGTGGTAGAAAGTTTGACTTGTCCATCGTTGTCAATCTTTCGCAGATGAATACAATATCTTCGTTCCTCACCTTATCACAAATGCCGTAGAAACTATTTATCCCTCTTGCGTTCCAGAACATTAATCGTAAAGAGATGCTCTTCTTCTTGCTTCATTTTTATTCACTTGTTTCTGCATTCATAGATTCTTGATCTTGTTTTTTTACAAAATAATAAATCTGTGTGTTTCCTCTAGCTCGGGCGTATTATTGTTTTGAAACGAACATAAGAGTGTTTGAGCTGAAATAAAATCAATAATAATATATTTGCCTTTGACTATTACTTTGTCAAACTGCTCAAAACATGACTTAAGTTCAAACAATTTTTTACGCTCTTCTCGTTGTTTTTCTCGCTGTTCTCTTAAAAGATCATTTGAGAAACTGATTTTTAGTTCTCTCAGGTTGCTTGCATTCTTAAAAATTTGTTTTTTTGAAAAAACTTGTTTAAAAGTCACAAGGACTGGCCTTGTTTCTTTATTATTCCCAAGTCTTTTGCAACTCTCGATTTCTTCTTTTTTAACACTTATATTAGCCGTAGAAAACATATCCAGCATATTGATGGTTG